TCCTATCCCCTTCCCATCCCCTTTCCCATCCCCTTCCCATCCCCTTCCTATCCCCTTCCTATCCCCTTCCCATCCCCTTCCTATCCCCTTCCTATCCCCTTCCTATCCCCTTCCTATCCCCTTCCCATCCCCTTGCTCTCCCCTTCCCATCCCCTCCCCTCCCCATCCCCATCCCCTTGCTCTCCCCTTCCCATCCCCTCCCCTCCCCATCCCATTCCCTTCCCCTCCCCTTCTCCTTCCCCTCCCCTCCCTGTCCCTTGTGCGTGTCTGACGTCCTGCGCTGCCCGGGTATTACCCCGCCTGGCGACTTCGCGTCCCTGTGCGCACGTCGTTGGCCGCCCGTGACCTGGACACGTACGTACGTCGCAGAACTGCGTTGCGTCCAAGCAGAGCGCAAACACCTGCGTAGACATTACCGACGTGCGAATGGCAGCAGCGGGTTTGCCAGTGCTGTCAGCCACCAACCAGACCATCAGGCTGCTCGTGATTGTCCTGTCACTAAATGCCACATCTAGCTGCGGCGCTCAACGCGGAGCTTCGGTAAGTAACCTTCTTGGCACAGATGGCAGGTGGCGCAACGCGAGTAGTGGCGTGTAGTGAGTAGTGATCAGTGAGTAGTGACGTGTAGTGGCGCAACGCGAGTACTGCAATGCTGCACATTCTGCAGTTACAGTTGGAAGTACGTCAAGTAGGAAGATATTTATAAAAAAGAATCGGGTTCATGGGGATAAAGGAACTCGAGAATTCCCAAGAGACCGTGTTTTATTTTTTCTCTCTGTTCATTTGCACGTCCATGTGGTGAGTAGATTAGCTTGTGGAGTTGCAACGTCATTAAATTCCATACGTTGCTACGTGTGTGTGTGTGTTACATGGTTGGGGGGGCGTGACCCCATACCTGTAAGACTACCCATACGAGCCGAAGTACGAAGTACGAATACGTAGTTGCGTGGCTGGGGGAAGGCTGGCAGCTGTTCATCTGCGTGCCGATGAACACCCGACGCCGGAGGTTTATAGATCAGTTTTGAGTGAGTGTGCGTTGCTTGGACACGGCCAAGCGCTTCTGGAACCTACCTGTCAACCCAGACATCTCAGACATCCCAGCCCGTGGAAATGCCACCTGTGGCTAATCTTTCTGCTGCTGCGACCGCTGGAACCCGCAGGTGGAAGATGTCCGGAACGCGTTCCTCAGCCCTGGTGGCTACGCGGATTTCCTGGGAAACTGCAGCTACGGCAAGATGGTGCTGGACAGACAGGCGCTGACGGTGGGGGTTGGGGTCGCGCGTGTTTTGGTGTTTTGACTTTTGTATAACTAGTAACTAGTAGGCTGGTAGTACGCTACTAGGCTAGAAAACATAGGCTAGTAATGGCTGCCGGCGGCATCCGAGCAGAGATGAAACGTAATCCTTGCTTCGCGAGTAGTGCTAGCTAACCTAAACAGCAATCAGCAATCTTGTACCGGTACATGCGCATTTTGATATGAACCTAAATCGCAAAGACAAGTACCGTACTGCCAAGCTCTCTAGGTACACATGTAGCTAGTCCGTTTGCTTCTCAGGTGTGCCTGATAACTGAAAAGCTGACTTAGCCAGCTATCTCGGACTGTTTACGTGCAATTTGAGAGCTTTCTCAGTTGTTACCGGTATGCGCTGTATGGCTGCTGATGGCTGCGATTCTCCCGCCGCTCTTTCTCTGACTCTTTGACACCATCAGGTTGTACCTCAGACCGGACTCTGCTCGCAACTGATTATGTCCTGCAATGTGGATTACATTTCCACGGTATCGCGGCGAAGAATCCCTAAAGGTATGTCAAGCTGGCGGACAGAGGCGGACCAACGGCTATAGCGAGTCGTTTGCGTATAATACTGTTAATTGCTTGGTTATGATCTAGGACGAACACAGTCATCTAGTATTCATTTGATCTGCGAGCATTTGTTGTATTTCTTATCTGGGAAGAGTTTTATAACATTTGCTGCTGCTGCTGCTGCCGAGACCCGATGCTCAGTATTCCCACACCAGTCACTCCGGGAAACCCTCGGTTCCGTATTCGCAGATTAGTCCATAAAATGAGGACTTGGGTCTGCAAAGTCGGGCCAAGTTTACGGAAGCCAAGTTTACGTGTAAAATATGGTAGAGAAAATGGCGTATACAAGACATCGCAATACCTAGTAATTACTGTACAAATTTAGATATCATTAGAAACTGCCATGGTAATAATGTTAAGCAAGTTCGGGGGATGCCATTTAAGCATGGAACAGTAGGACCCTGGCTTCCGTAAACTGAAGGCATGGTATAAATGGACCCTCTACTAGTTTATTTGCCGCTGTGTAGAAACGCAAGTATGCATCATTGGTGATTTACAGTGCCCCACCATATATACCTAACCCACAGCGCCCTGCCCTGCCGCAACCTGCCGTACCCTGCCGTACCCTGCCTGTTAACCTATCACGCACGCAGCGGCTATGAATGTTCCAAGCCCCGTGTATACTCACCTGGCCTACGTGCTGCCGAACGGTACTCTCCAAGCTTGCCAATGGTCGGGCTTGTCGGAACTTCCAGGAAAACAGAGCTGGTTCGCAGATCACCCACAGGTGATGACGATTGCGCGCGTGGCGGGCTAAAGTACGACATCATTATACATCCTGAGGTCTTGAGGGTTCAGCTGTTGTCTTTTGTCCGGCGGGGCATGCTCAGCGGCGTACGGTTTATTAGCAGACCTGTAGTAGCTATGTACTAAATAGGGTTTTAGGGGTTTAGGGGTTTAGGCACACGTTTCTTCTACAAGGACGCGCTAAGGCGCTCTGCCAGCCCCTTGCTGGCTGCCTCCCCGACACCCGGGCGAGGTGCGATTTGGGGAGACGTCGCTGGGGGACGCCACCCCTTCTCGGGGAGCCTTGAAATGCTCCCCGTGTAACAACCCGCAGGAAGTCTCCCCAATCGAAGCAAAACTGAGTCCCAAACGTGAGCAATGGATTTGTTATTGAAGTCCCTGAACGAAGATGGGTAGAAAGAAATGTCTTCCATGTTGCAGTACACTGTGATGTACCTCTGCCATGCCTGAGTTGTAACCTTTGCAAAATTTAAATGCATAACTATACCTCGTACATAGTTGTTCTGTAAGAAAGCGTAGCCAATGTGAAACCCGATGGCGGTAGTCAAGGATATCTGTGGGAAGTTCTCTAGGTTCATAAAATCTTTGATATCGTTATTAGATAAGCAATTTAATGGCCAGAAGTACGAGGGCGGCAAGGTTGTTGAACCCGGGAAGCTGCCTCAGCTGGCGATTTTCAAAGTTGGCCAGGGCAAATCGCCCTGGTTCAACAACCTTGCCGCCCTCGTCCTTCTGGCCATTAAATTGCTTATTTAATAACGATATCAAAGATTTTATGAGCCTAGAGAACTTCCCACAGATATCCTTGACTACCGCCATCGGGTTTCACATTGGCTACGCTTTCTTACAGAACAACTATGTACGAGTTATAGTTATGCATTTAGATTTTGCAAAGGTTACAACTCACACACCACACTGCTGTTGGCGCTTTTCCCAAAATTTCTTTTCCTTTATCACCGTCCCGTTACAGCAGCGGTAACAGAAAGGATCATTAATGGTGCATGTATAGCACACAACCCATCCACATAACCTGCGCATGCGTATCCTTCTAACCAATGTCGTACGCAATGTCGTACGGACCTCCCTCCAGGGCGTTTACGACAAGGGCACGGTAATGCAGGCGCTGCTGAACAACGCTGGACTGTACCCGGCATGGAGAGATGGCTTGGCGTACAATGACCTTTCCACTGCCATGGGGTTCGGCAGGAGCTGCCCCTCCGCTCCCGAGCTGCTTCGTCTGGACTGGGCTTCCCCCCTGGCGCTGCTCAACTCGGCACGGTTCGCATCGCGAGTTTACAGAAGCTACACGCTGCCGGCAACCTACCTCGGGCCTACCGGCGTCATGATCAAGATCCAACCAGACTGGCTCGGCAGTGCTTACACCAAGTAAGATCGTAAAGCCAATGCCGTGCGTCTGTATAATGTTTTTCATTATCGTCTGTATCGATCGTCGATCGTGCCCTGGCATGTACCGTATATACCAGGGCACGATCGACGATCGATACAGACGGTGGCCGTCCATCCTAGTATTATACCACAGGGGTGCGATCTACAGACAATCAAAACATTTACAGACGTCAGTGGAAATTTTGATCACCTAAAGGCGACACCCTCGTATATTAGGCAAGTAGGGACCGTCACTACCTAAACTTTACTGACGCAGACGTCACTAATTGCTGCCGTCGTCGCGGCTGTTCCGAGAAAGCTCTCCGGCGTGTTCGTTGAAACTAGGCATAATATCAACCATATTTTACTGGATTTTCCATGTATAATTGCTGTACAATCGCCTGGGCGGGTGCGACACGCACAGGAACATATACCTGGCACTGCGCGTCAAGGCTGCGGGCGACAGCGATCTCGCAGCGGAATTCAACGGAAAGGTGAGAGATGCAGTCCTTCAAGGTGTTCTTACGCTGATCGTTGCTATGCGGCTTTTTTTATTATTTGGTACCTTTCTCCAGGGTTGATTGGGGACAATCGTTAACTCGTCCAGCTCGCGAGCAGCTTCTTCGTCCATTAAGGCAGCATGGGATGCATGGCACGATCTATGCACGACCATATGCTATACCATGAATCTATCTGTATACGATCGATTTCTCCGTCTTACTTATATCCTCATCATACCATAAGCTGTCCCTGTATCAACGTTACTGACGCTGACATAGCTAAAGCTGATGGCTCGCGCCGCGTCTGCGTGCGGTGTCTCTATACGTCCGCAACGAAGTCATTAGAGGAAGGAGCTATGGCAAGGCCATACATAGTGAGCCTGCTTGTCGGAAGCGGTACTAGTAGCTGGCCAGTAGCTGGCCATGGGGTAATTTCCCTCGTAATTACCAGCATGCACTGCGAGCATGCACACCGAGCTAGCTAGATTAGACTAGCCACTGAGTGGAGCGCAATCATTGTTTATCCCCCCCCAAAAAAATGGGGAAATGCCTTTAGGCAAGCAGTGCATGCGGAGTCCTTGATCGTTGAATGGAGCCTCCATACGGCACATTACGGCGATTTAGCAAAGCGCCGGAACCCGCTCGTGTCGGTCGGTATAACTGAAGTCGCCATTTACTTACTCACTAGGGTTGAACATGAGTGTCGTACGGTGACTTTCCAACATATAGGTGGCGGGGATTATGCCCCAATGACCATGCCACACTCACACTCACACACAAACATACACACTCACACACAAACATACATACATACACACACAAACATACATACATACACACACACTTTCTCTCTCGCGCGAGCGCGTCGGAAATATGCTCTGCTTCGCCTCCATCTATACGCTAATCGATTCCACAGCTGAACGTTCACGAGGCCGACAAGGACGTGGACAATGACGTCATGCGAATTGGTGACCCCAGGATCTCATTCGTTAGAGCAGTGGATCCGGGAAGCTCTGTGCTGCTCTTCAACTACAGACTACATATCCTGACCGGAGGTACGAACGAATGTACGGCACCAGGCCTGAGCCAGTGCATATTTAACTGCGTACACCTGCATACTGTAGTAGTAGTAGCTTTAGATAGTACGGCACACATGTCGTCCATAAGCTGGTACTCTTTAAGGTACTCAAGTCAACATTTTTATTAGCGACCATGTCAGTGGCCAGCAGCTACTGCAAATACACGTCATACTTAAGTTCGTCCCCAAGGGCTTTTAGATCTATGCAGGGAGAATGAAGATGACCTCGTACCGCGTACCCGCATCAATACCAATACAACGTCCATGGCCCCCCTGGCTTTTACGGACACACACCCGCACTTGTGTGCGGAACTTGTAACTTATAACTCTATGCAGCAGCCCGCACACGACAAGCTGCCACAGACGTCACGTGTTTGTGCAAGTATGTGCAGCGTTAATAACGATGTTTGCTGCGGATGTATGTATGTATGTATGTCCGGCCTTGCGTATCGATGCCAGCTCAATCCGTCAGCAGCGCAATTCCCCACCTGCGTGCACGAGAACCTTCTTCAGCTTGTACGGCAGACCACGCGCTTCCCTAAATCGATTCCCCACCTGCCTCCGTACAAGTCCAGCATTGGTTACATATTTTTGTGTCCATTGCCCAGTAGTACTTTTGTGTCTGTTGCCCTGGCCCTCTGCTGTATGCATGTGTGGGAATGTATGCATACGTATACTACTGCAGATTTGGTGCAGGGCAACACCATGGTAATCAAGATCTGCCGCTTCTTTAGTGCCGGGCCTAACGAGTGCGTCGAGGGCACATCGTAAGTCTTGTTGTATATCCATACGCACATTGCGATGTTGTGGCATTGGCGCGTTGTGAAGGGACATCGCGATAAGGGAGCTATCGCGCATGTGCTTGTGTGGATCTGTGGGTGTAGTAGCTGGCCGCTGAAAAGGCCTCTCGAGATGCTGGTGGTCGCGCTTCGCGCGTATTTGTAGAGCCGTACTGTGTACCAGCTACTACAGTGGGTGCGTACGGACATGGCCGGGGTTGGGATGGGGCTGCAAGTACAGCGCCTGTACTTAGTAGGGGGTTGTTGCTCCGAGGTACCTGCAGCAGTTGCACGGTTCCACCTTGTTACTGTGGTGCTTTTTCCCACACAGGCTTCCAAGCATTAACAGGTTACATGGAGAGATAGATGCGCATTGGGATTGAGGGTTCACTGCTGAGCTCATCGCGGGCGATAACGGAGTGTCGCTTGAGCTATGTTGCATTTAAACTACACGCCCGTACATTATTTAAGTATAAATTATTTAAGTATAAACTACTTAGTTATTAATGGGATCGGCGGGCCGACAGAAGGAAGCAACCGTGCTTACTAAGGCACAGGCGATGTGTGGCGGGAGTCAGCTGTGCGAAATTCCAAACAGACTTAAGAGTCAAACATTGGCTTATTTGGTATTGTTTCAGGCCGCCTCCTTCGCCACCAACGCCGCCATCGCCGCCGCCACCTGGCCCGATGCCGCCGCCGTCGCCAAGCCCCCCACCACCGTCGCCACCGCCGTCGCCTCCAAGCCCAGCGCCACGTCCACCGCCGCCGTCGCCCCGATTGCCGCCATCCCCGAGGCCCCCACCAAAATCACCGCCGCCAAGGTCACCGCCGCCATCGCCACCTTCCAAGCCGCCACCAAGTCCCACTAGGTCATCGCCGAATGCCAGGCCGCCGCCGCCGCCTCGCCGCCTCATCTCCTTGTAGAATCTATCTTTCTCTTTGTACCTAAAAAACCCTGCAGGGTTACCTAAACCCTGACGCCGCCGTCCTTTATCTATCTGTTCTATCTATCTATTTATCTATCTGTTCACCTTGGGCTCAATAACCAGACGCCACCATCACTAGCAGCTCTGCTGGCGATGGATGCGACAGAATGAGACAGGCAAGTGAGACAACACGGCAAGGTTTTTCACCTGAGGGCGTTCTGTCTGGCAGGAGCAAAGTGCGTTGGTAAACTTTTGTTATGTTATGGAAACCTGTGCCCATGTGGATGTACCTGTATCGGGCGGGGGCTTTATCACAAAGCTTCATCATCCATGCTCATATCGGTATTGAGAGGCATAGAACCATCGTGGATGGCCGTACGCATGCCGTCCACGCAATAATTATCGGCTGGCTTTCCTGCTCCTGCCGGCTTGCCTTCCTGTCTGCTGGTGGGTTAGCCGCATAAGCTGAAATCCGAAAGCACATGTATACTAACAGGATGGGGTCTAACTTTTGCACTCGAAGACAGGTGCAGTTGTATGGGCGCGCTTTCCTATGGTACTACTGTATGGGGGACCGCTTCCCTGCTATATTTGTTGTGTGATGTCGGTTATTTTTCAAGGTTTTTAATTTTTGGGAGTTCGTACAATGAAGGAACAATGCAACGGTTATCAGCAGTCATCGACAGTTCTCGTTTTGGGCGTTGTGCGCAACGAGTATAGCTGGATGGCGTTGTGATAACGGATGGCTCGCACGCCAACACACGCCACCGAGCGAGGCTGCAAGCGATAGCCGGTGGCAGTGGCAAGCGGATGGCTGCTGTACGTCTATCTTCATTCTATGTCCTCAGCTGGTGTAGGGCCCGATGCTGATGACGAGCATGAATCATTTTTATTTTTATGGAACGATTATTGCAATCCTTCCTTTCCCGCCCACCCGAGCGGCAGGCAGGTGTACATATTTCAGGAGGTGGTGTACATATGTCTATGTTTAGGTCAGTAGCTGGTAAGGGTTCTCTGTCCATGCATGATTTCCATGCGTTTCAAACAGCATGTTTATAAACTTGCGTGGCATTAATTCTTGCAAAACGATGGCAATTCATAGCCTGGGTGGTGTAGCATACATGTGGCTTGAGTTCTGCTTTTTACGGTATTGTTAGCTTTCCACGCATATGTACATAATATGCTCACAGCTGTATATATTTGCGGACTGCTGACTGACTGGCTGGATGAGTAGAGCGAGTCCAGCCTAAGCAAAGTATTATTTATCTTCCGTAGATTACACCCTGGTAAAGCGGTACAATAGATGGGGGTAGTCCTTATCTAATTTACCAGGTCACGATGTACATATAGAGACGATGCAAAGTGTGCAGACGAGGGGGGTGGCCAAGCAGCTGGTGCTCGGTAAGGTCTGGTGGCTGGCTGCCCATACTGCAGTGCTACTAGGGTTTTTCGTTTTCGAGACTGCTTATCCAGTTTATCAAAGTTTCCAGTTTCCAGCAGGCTTTTTTGTTTTGCGGCTGCCGGCGCCTGCTGGCCTACCCTCGGCTGTAGGTCGGCCTGCTTTATTCTTGTGTTGATGCATCCAGCCTGTTTATTCGTACATTCATATATGTGCAGCCGAAGTGTGCAAACAAGCGTGCGTGCGTGCTTAGCTAGCTAGCTAGCTAACTATAGTTTATTGATTGCTGTCCCGCCCACGTCTCTACCTACCTGTCGGTATGCCTTGGAAAGGTCGACTAGCTACCAATCAAAGGGATGTGCGTTCGTTTGGTTATAAGTGATTCGGCAGAGGGGATTGATCGATTGGAATGAAGCGCAAAATGATTTTTGAACCTCATCTGCCGTGTAATCACTGAATTATTGAGGTTCTGCTGCGGGAGTGAGCATGTATATAGGATTTGGCACTATTGGTAACGCGCGACCATTGCCCCCGGAAGATCCCGGAATCTTCCTATCAGGGTCGAGAAACCAACTTCCAATGGTGGAAGGTATTGCGCCCCTAGTTGATGGACGATGGTGACCTGTATTAAAGTTGACCTGCGAGCTGATCAGGAATGGAGCTGAGCCGCTGTTGAAACGGCAGATTCCGTTGGATGCCGGTGGTGGGTGCGGAACCTGAGCAATCCATTGTGAAGATGACTAGGGTGACGGTGCCCCAGAATATAGGGGAGGGCAGGGTTTCGCCTGGTAGCGGCCACGGCTGAAGATATGGACCCCCTGTCCCACACATCATTATATATCTATCCACTGCCCTTTCCACGATCAAGTTTGTTGTTTGATGACTGAAGGATTTGTGAGTAAGCGTGTCGTACCTGAAGCCCGGCAGATGAGCTGTTCATTGTCTTCAAGCTAATTAATTAGAAGCTACTTTTGCAGTTTCCTGCACGTCGCGATTCAAGCAAAGTGTGCCTCCAGGCCCGGCGGCGGCTGTAATAAGCTGTCTGGGTTTGCCTCCACAGCGCTGGGGGCAGCGGGTCACCCACAAGGCAGCAGTGCCCAGCACCAAATTTTGGGGGTGGAGGAGGTAGTCTCGACATCACGGAGCGGTGGCATGCAGATGCCATATCCCGGAGCAGCTACAATCCGGCTGATATCCGCAGGTAGATCGCTTCCGCCGAGCCGGGGCCCCGCGGTCGTTCGTCAGGGGCCACGGTTGGATGTGTGTGTGTGTGTGAGAGAGGAGGAGGTAGGCAGATAGCGTCCGGACCCAGGGCTGGAGGCCGCCATCTGCCCTCCTCGTGCCCCCCGGTACCACCCGTGGTTCCTGCAGCTCCACCTGTCCCTGACACCCACCCAACGCCTTAGGTAGCCCTAGGGCGGCTATGATGAATCGTATGGTCCATACAGCATGCCGGACCTGCATGTGCTGATGTATGTACGTGTGTGTATGTATGCATGTATGTATGTTTGTAATGTAATGTAATGTTACAGAGTGGGAGGCTTCTGGGCCGCTTTATCACATTGTCACTTCTACGATTTATCACCTTATAGCACTACCACACTGTCTTCGCCATACGAACTGTAAGTCCAAGGCGGCGGATCCAGCCTTCAGGGACCCCTCCTCACCCATTCACCCGAACATCCGAAGAGACGGAGGGTTCGACAATCGCCACCAATCCAGCGTGCGAATCTGATCCATTGAATGTGACATCTCTGCAACTAGCCATAATCTCGCGCCCCCAACTATTTCGGGGGTCTCCCCGGGAATCGAACCCAGGACCTTAAACCGCTAATTGCATGTTTGTATGCATGTAAGTATATGTGTGTATGAATGTAAGTATGTACGCTACATGGCTTTGGATGTCGCCATCCGCCTCAATTCTCGAAAAACATTATCAGTAGCTAGTCCCACACTAAACCACAGTGTCCACGCATTGGTAAGAGCCCTACCTGGCGATGGAAGCGAAACGTTTCCCCCACTATTCCCTTATCCCCTCGCCGGCAACATTGGCCACCTCGCACTGGCTTGGCACAAATGCGGCGCAAAACAATGTGTTATATCACTACTTCAGAAAAGTACCGATCGGCGGGTGCAGATCCCGTGCTGATGCACGCCCGCCAGGATACTACAAAATGGCATAAGCAGCACACGACAGGAAACGATCGGTTAGTAATGTTTTCCTTCATGCTTCTGCCCCTTGGTAATACAGCATAACCATTCCAGAAAACAAAACCGCATGCGATGTCATTTGTTTTGACGTCATGAATGAGGCCAGCAATTACAAGTCGTGACAGCTACAAGTAAACCGCAACTGATTTAACAGACTCGCAGATAACGCACACATGCCTTCACTGTCTTTTTATCCAGGACAACTGCTGTTGTTGTGGGGGATGCATCAGCTGTGCTGCTGTGCAGGCCTCAATAGCTGCCGTGCAGGACGTACGGCCGAGTGTAAGCTAAACGCATATATTTCTTATTGCCACCCATCTTACGCCAGTACAGCGTGCAGAGCTGCATTGTACAGCATGCCCAAGAGTTCACCGTCGCGTTAATCCAGCAGGGATACCCAATTCCTGCCTCTCACCTAGTTCAAATGCTCGTTTGACGAGCCTCCCACAGCCACGGAGTGCTGCTGTTGTCAAGTGCTGTATGTACTACTTGGTTAGGCAAGCATTGGGGTTGCCAAGCGTTGGTACGTGTTCGCACTGGTGCGGTGCGTGGGGCCAGGTGGTGACTACATATGTATGTACGGTTATAATGCGGGCTATGCGAAGCTTGAGCCGGGTTAGCTAAGGTGTAGGGCCTTACGGCCGTTTTAAGTGGTACGACTTGAGGCCGGCGATCCGTGTCCTCAGGATCGTCTTTTGCATAAATAGCGCGTGTTGCAGGTTTTCTGTATCTTGTTTTTGTTGTTCAGCACGCGCTGTTCATAAACTAACGAGCCCGCACGATCAGGATGACCCCTCTGCGAGTGCTCTAACTCCTGCCACTCAGGAATTGCCCGAAAATTATGCAA